AGTAAACTGTCGTAATAATGAATATTTTTCAAATATTCGTTTGCTTTATTGTTTTATATTGTTGACAAATGACAGTGTTAACTGTAAAGTTTGGTGAACAAATTGGCATTGTTCTGGTAACTACTATCAGGGCAGCCGAGAGGTTGGCGGGGGCCCGGGGCAAATTTTTTTTTAGGGGCCCCTAAGTTTTTTTAGGGGCCACCTCCCTTGTTCAAAAAAATTTTTCCGGACATGTACGTTGCAATTGCTTTTCAGGGCCTTTATCTCAATTTTTCATACCAAATTTCGGTACTTAGCCCAAAAAAAACAACAACATTTAACCCACAAAAATGACTGGGGCCCAACAAAAAATTTCCAGGGGGCCCCAGCACCTCGGGGCCCGGGGCAATTTGCCCCCCCCTGCCTCCACCCCCTCTCGGCGGCCCTGACTACTATTTATACTAAACTAGTTGTGTAGTTGACATATTATTTATATTATTGAATATTTGACTCTTATCAAACTATTGACCCTTCTAAGTTAGATTTCTATATATAAAATATGAGTTAAATTGTTAAATAAATTTTCAAGTCTCGGATTTTCTGCCGAGCCTTATTTCTAAAAGTCCTAAGAATACGGAATTCGGTGTGGATACACACTCAGAGTAACATCACAAGCATCAGCATAATTCATGTTTGACGGCAGTAACACAGAATACTACACAGAAGTCCATCTCCATTGTTTTAAGCGTAAGCTCTATTCGTCATGATTCGTCACTTAGCAAGTACCGTAAACAGAATCGGTCACCCCCCTGGACATACACCATTTTTAGTATTTCCAGGAGGGGAACTGCTTCTGTTTACTGTACTTGCTGAGTGACGAATCATGACGAATAGAGCTTACGCTAAAAACAATGGAGATGGACTTCTGTGTAGTATTCTGTGGCAGTAATGTCTATTTATAAATGTGGAGCGGAGTACTGGATCCAAATGTACTGATTTTCGTGCAAAAGTCACCGGTGTTTCCTAGAGCCTCAGCAAGCCTCCACAGAGGATTGCGGGCTCTGGTTTCGAGATTGCTTGCTTCTCCGCCATACTTGTTACCAGGCCTCTTAATGTCAAAACTGCGCAAACCAATTTTGGCGGATGTCAAAATTTCCTGACTCTGGGAGTTGATAAAATTCCCCTCACTGGGGCTTCATAGTGTGGTCAAAGTCCCCTGGGTCGCCCGCACCCCCCCTCTCAGGGAGAAAACAATGATAGGTGCATAATAAAGCACTCCTGCTCGTTTATTAACAGCGTAATACACCCTTTTCATAAATGGCTGCTGATTAAAAATTCTTTTATGTGCATATAAATTGGCCCAACTAGCCTCGTACTCATGTTAAGATTTCAAAGGAATTTCTACCCAGAAACGAGGCTAGTTGGGCCAATTTATATGCATATAAAAGAATTTTTAATCGGCAGCCATTTATGAAAAGGGTGTATACAACATCGTAATAGCGTGTAACACGACAGAAGTACAGAACGCCGACTGGCCACAACAAAGCGATTCTAAATAGTAAATGGCATTGAATGACATACCTTGGGTCTTTGGCGCTCCTTCTGGGCCTTCTATCACCCGCAGCGTATATAAACGTTCCGAATTTATTGTCGCCACGAGTCTTGTACATTAGAGCACATGAAAACACGCTAGCACTCGCAAAAGCGATGTACTTTAACGAACGACGCATTGTTCTAAGTAAATGTTCGAGCTTTTGCTTATTAGAAACGTTGAAAGTTTAATAGTTCGCCTTTTTTCAGCTTGAAAAATGATGATTTACGCCGGTACGTTGTCAGTCTTGTCAAAATCTGTACATTTTCGCCCTGGGATCGAATTTCATGTGGGATTTCCCCTAAAACAACAGGTGGGCAATGGGAAATTTGTCTGAGCATGCGCGCAGAAAATCAATATGGCGACATATATTTAGGAGCGTTTCGTGAATTTATCTGGTTTTAAAGCTGATAAAACAACATTTCAATGAACGAAAACTTTGTAATATTTAGTGGAAAGCATTAAGCTATGCAATCCAAAGGTTTTAAATTAAAAATAAGTACTTTTGCTTTATTTTATTGCTTTTTATGCTTTGAAAATAGCATAAAAAGCAATTTCATTTTTTTTGAAAGAATCTATAAAACTAATATTTTACCCATCATTTGTTTAATCTGAACAGAAATAGATAGAACACTTGGCTCCATAAGTTATAAAGGGAATTGGTAGCTGATCTGAAAGATTTCAGTATTCCTGGTACACATTTTAACAAAGAATGACTGTAATTTTAAAAATTAAATATGCATATAAAAAACAATAGTTTTTATTACAGAACAACACAGAATAAGTTGTTATTTTCTATTTTTACAAAAACAAGTTTGGAAACAGAATCTAGTCCTTCAGCTTGATGTCATATTCCATTTATTTGGATAGTTGATTAAAGGAATGTGAAATAATTTAATCTTGTGCAAAATTTGATACCAACACTCAAGTGAATAGATACTATCACCTAAAAATAAAAGAAAACAGAACTTAAATTTATCATATAATGCTATGAAAAAATCTTAGCTACTACAGGCATATAGTGAGCACAACTCTTTAACAAACTCACTAAAATAAGTTAAGTTTATATGTATCGATCAATTCGAAACTTCACCATCCCCCTCCCCGGGCCGACCCCGGGAATTTGACTTTTTGAAATTTGACTGATCAAATTCTCCACCCCCTGTGCAAAAAAGTCTTCAAATGCCCCACTGTAACAAGAAATTAAGCGTTCAAATGCCCCCACCTTCATATGAAAATTATGAAACAGTAAATACAAAAAGTACAAAATATATGGAAATGTTTTTCGACAAGATAGCGAAATTCACGTAAAAAGTTTGGATACCTTGTGGAAATTTAACAGTTTTACTAAACAGAAAACACCCGTACCCGTTTGTCTTTTACGTGTAGACCTTGGTTTACCGCGGGAAACGGATAGAAATTACGGGTAAAAATGCTGACATGAGCAAAAATTGCTAAACAAAATGGCGATACTCGTACCCGTAAATCGGAATCTTCAACCTCGTCCCCAGGGTCTTCTTCGTGCATGGCGCGTGAAAAATGAGAAGACCCTGGTCACAGAATAGATAATAGGACCAGAAGTCTTACTCAAGCGGAAACATGTCCCATCTTTTATACTGCGCATGCGCGAGCTAAACAAGTGTAATGCAGTGTTGACAATAGAAAATTATATTGGGAAGTTGTCATTTCTACAGTAAAACAGCTTTTTTTTCAAGTAGTACGAATTGTGACTTCGATTTATCTGTGGAACTATTTGAACAGAAGGTAAAGCAGTAATTTTGTTGTATTTAGAAAGCAAACAGGGTCATATTTTTAAAAATATAGCGCACTGAATATAAATTTGAGCATCATTAAAATGTGTTCGCTATGATGCCATTTTGTCTCCGGTATTTACGGAGTTCTGCTTTTATACTTGTGGATATTCGAATTTATTTGGCTCAAAAACACCATTACTTCAATATCCCTTTCTTGTTTTTCCTTGGATAGGTTTTAACAAGATAGAACTCTAGATCCCTTGGGTCCAAAGACGCTAGATTATAAAATCCTGATGTGACTAATTGATACTACAAATAGAATATGTCTTATGATTTAATACTACAAATAAAATGTCTTTTAAGTACAAACTTCAATGAATTGATAAAGTGTAAGGATAGTGTTTAAAGTCGCTTCCTGTGTAGAAGCTGAATTACTTTAGTTTATACACTGTATATTGTCGAGATCACATGTTGATATGACTTAATACCAGCAATTTGCAATAAGTGGTCTGTTCTGCTTGTTTATAATACTTTAGAGTTTGGACATTAGAACATTGTAATTGCCTGACAGAGACTGTTAGGGCCTGTTTGTATGGAAGCCGGGCTGGCCCGCTTAGGAAGACAGCCCGGTAAGGTAGGTAAGCAGGATGATTTCTCTTGTGTTTATTTGAGAAAATTTCATTCCGCTTACCGGGACAATTTTGTTGTTTTGACATTATTTTGACAGTTGTTAAAAATAGCTTGCGGCAGTATCTTTGAACTTTCATCCCGGCAACCGGGCTAGCCTGCTTATGAATGTTTATGTGGAGAAATTTCCATCCTGGTCTTGGCAACCGGGCCTGCCCGCTTGTCCATAGAAATGATAATTTGTACTATAAAAATAACTAGACAGCGAGATCTCACTTACTGGGCTGTCTCACTTAGCGGGCCAGCCAGTTTCGATATAAACAGGCCCTTACACAACTGCTAAAAGCTGCAAGTTTCTTTAAAGCAACATCATCTATATCACAGAATACAGTTTCTGTAGTGACATACTTGTCTTTAATGTGTCCTATGTTTGTAATATTTTTGTACAATACCTTTTTGAAATTGTTGATACTGGTCTCATTGTAACTCAGTAGTCTCAGTTATTCCTTCTCAAGAAAAATAAAAAAACAAAGCTGTGTGGGTGTGTTTTTGCTCTAGCTAGTTTTTACATTTACATGGTTCATGTACAATTAATGTACATTTAAATTAGCTTTGTTCAATGAATACAGGTGTGATTCAAATATCATTCCTGTCAGGTACTTGGGTCAAATAGACATAAGCATACTAAATCATGCTGTGAATTGAAATACAAGTTTAGGGTGTATATTGTTTAATAAATATATTTTCCAGTTAACCCAGTAAGATGCATTGTGCTCCAATGCGCCCTACTTTACTAGTTTATTTCACTTCATCTAATGCCAGATGATTTTACTTATCGAGGGAGAGTGCTGCTGCTCATTGAGCTCTGATTGAGTTCACTGAGTGGCAGCACTTTCCCCTTGACGAGTGAAATTGTCTGGCATTAGACAGAGTAAAATAATCTTGCGTTCAATCAATCAGCTACTTTTTCAAAAGCTCAACCAGGTTAAAGATTCTTTGATTTGAAAACCAAAGTGATAGTGAACTAGTTAGTTGAAACAAACATAATTGTTTGATTTATTTACTTTCCACAACATTGACAATTAAAATTTAATTTGATACTTTTCCAGTATATTGACATTATATAGGTTCAGATTTGACTACCATTACCATTAAGGGACCATCAACCAATCAAATGCATATGATATATTTGATCAACCATTATAATGAAAGTGTGAGTTTATTCATACTAATTATAAATCAACTTCATGCAATCATCTAGTTATGCACCAGTCAATGTAAATCCTTGCCCCCAACCGGGGAGGGGCGGAAGGTTTAACAGGGAAAGTGGTCAGTTTTGATTATAAATTTGTCCCCGATGATGGGAGACTTCGACAGTGGTTAACATATATATCCTGTGTTGCTGTTTTAGTTTTCTTGACAAGAAAAGTTTAAATACAACAACATAAATGAATTTGATTTTCTATTGCTGATCTATGATTATACAAAACTATTTTCCTGGGGGTTAAGAGACATGCAGGGAACATTGACGTCCCTGGGGGCGGGGACAATTTCGCTTTTTTACTACCCCTCCAAGTCAAAATCCCTGCCCCTCCCTGGTTGGGGGGTTTACATTGACTGGTGCGTTAATTAAAGAAGTGTCAGTGCCACATATGTAGTAAAAGTCAACTTGTCAGTAAAGGCCACAGAGCAAGATTGTATTTCAAAGACTGCCAGTGACAAAAACAATTGATAGTCCTGAAATAGAGTATGCCAACAGTTAGTATACTGCAAATAACTATTCTATCAACAAGATAATGTGTGTGTTTTACAAGTGTTTTTTATATATCAATCCAATGGCATGTAACCTAAAATTCAGCAGTGTCTGTGTAATGAAATACGCCCTTACTTCTCAAGTATGATCAAATTAATTATACTACATTTGTATAATAATATATGGACTGGTTCAAAAATATATTGAATTTATATTAGTGAACTGGTGAACTATTGATGTACAGATTATGCCAAGTATAGAATGGCACAAGGATTTTCATGTTATCAGCATGATTAAATCGTGAGATTGTGCAAATAATCTGTGTAAAATCTCTTAGAGATACCCTCGGTAGCTACATTTTAAGGTAAAATGACTATGGTAAAGCTATTCAAGGCAAAAAAGCAATGGATCTGTCAACCTCGTTGTCAACAGTAAATTTAGCTAAGTTTATGATCCATTTATTGCCGTATTTTAGCTGAGAATTCATTTAAGACAATGCAATACGATAGACTTACCTTTGAATTTATCATATATTCTTTTAAAATGGTCACCAAAGCTCTAAAACTCGATTGGTATCGTTTTAACTTCCTCACCCCTTAATGTTTACATGTAAATTTGTCAAATTACACTTGTTTAGGGCACTGGAAACGAGACACGGCCAAGATGCGCGAGGCGACATGCGCGGGGACATCAACATCAAAGATTCCGACATCGAGTGAGACTTCTGGTCTTATTATTTATTTTGTGCCCTGGTAAAGGCTGTTCTAAACTGCGTTGTGATTGGTTTATACATTTGACCTTGAATGTGCTTTGAGGATGTTGTTATAATGAATATGATTGGTTTACCGCTAAATAATTCTTGTAATGAGCCCTACGATTGGTTGCATGATTTACAAGGATTTTCACAACAATAATTTGTTTGTAGTAAAATGCATGCTTCGCCAAGGCGCGAAGCTCGTTTCTGGCAAATATTTTCCAACTTTCAGCCTAATATCAGGCACAAGACATCATTTTGGTACTTCAAAGTTGAGACAGCTTATGCTCACATCGTTATCGAAGGTATGAATATATACACACACTGTATGATCAAATAAACCACAGAACCATTTGCGTTTGTGACGTTTAGTTCCTCTCAAATACTACCACTTGTTTAACTAGTACGAAAACCTCTTGTCTGCTTCATGTGACAGTTTAATATCAGTCTCAGATGAATATGCATTTTTATAGCAGAAATAGAGGCACAGAACGATTGCTGTTTGTATAGCTTAATTGTTACATGTTTAAAAATTATAATAATAAAATAAGCAGTTCTTGCTGGGCTCATAGGACACCAGGAAATAATAAAAACGAATCTAAGATCCTATACAATATTAAAATTTTGGTTATGTCAATAATTTGTGCCACTGCAGCCAACTGCTGGAGCACAGCTACTTGAATTTTCCACAAGAATGGATGCCACTGACCACCAAGAATGGATGCCACAAATGGAACATTTAAAATATATTCAACATAACTATAAAATTATTTTCAGTTAAATCTAGCATTAGTGTTACACTGTAAATCATCCATAATTATCACAGGTGTACAGAGAGTACACTTTTCAACCCCCTCCCACAGCGACTTAACCGATGAATATTGGTTATGAACCCACCTACCTGAAGCATATAGTTTGTACACTTCAGGAAATGTTGGTAGTTCTGGACAACCCATAATTGAATTTCATTAGCCTTTACATCATTGTGAATTACCATTTGCATGCATGTAACACTAACAGCATGATCTTTATTCCATACCATATAGGAAAAATTGAACACATCTGTCCTGCAGAGCTAGTACAAATTTACATTAGCAACTATTGAATCAGTGAGGGAGGTATAATAAAGCAAGTGTTTAAATAAATGCAGCCAAATCAAAATTGTTTGTCTCCACACTACACTTCCTCATCAATGGACAGCTCAATGAGAACAAATGTTGTGGACAACTGTGGTTTGGACATTGCAGGCTGGCTGCACATTTTGCAATGATGTACATGCAGGAGATCGGTTGTTGAAGCATGAATGAAATCGATTTCAAAAAAGCTCCAAGGCTTACTTTATGAGAATGGGTCATTCCAGAAAACATCCATACCACCCCCACAGAGGAAATAGGAAGTTAACCCCCTTCAGATGTCCTAATACATTTACTATTATCAGAAACAATTTTTTCTCCCCTCCCCCTCCAGACGGCAGAAATTTCCTCCATCGGGGAGTATGGATCTTTTCTGGAACGACCCAATTCATTTTCCATATGAGTGAGAGTTCCTATCAGCCGCATGTGAGGATGCATATTACCACCTCTTTTCTTTACCCTTGCACAGTACAGAGAAGGAAAAACAAAGACCAGATTTTGAACCAAGTAACTTTGTTATTTAACTTAAAACAGCACTGTATATAACTTTAAATACTGTAAAAAATGAAATATCAGCTAAATACTAATTCAGTAAGAATTGTCTTGGTATGGAAATATCTTGTTCTGTTGTATATGCATTGTTGAATTGCCATGTCGCTTTCTTGAGTATTACCGGAATATTAAGTATAGTTGAGCCAGCTTCCTAATATTATGGAATCTAGGATAGTTGTTGACTTTGCGGTTTTCTTAATAATCTCATATTAGCAACATTCCTAGATGCGAAGACTAACAGCATTCCCATCCCCATTAAGTTGTACATATACAGTTGCAGTCTTCTTGACAGTTCTTGTTTTATCCATATTGAAATTTGAGAAGCATGAATATCTAAAATATAATACAATTGATTTGCATTTCATTTCACAAACTGGAAACCTAAATCTATATGTTACACTAAATCTATCCAATTAATTTATTGACAGTAGATTTATTTCTAATTGAGAGAGAAACATACTTACATAAGTTACATTTGACAAAACTATCTCTAAACTGGTTGGCAATCTTTTAGTTTTACTGATTCACCATTCAGTGCACAATATAAACTCACAATACAAATGAAATTTCTGCTGCCTGAAAGGGGATGGGGAAATGCACTATTAGAATGGTAAAATGTACTAGGATGTGTAAAAGAATTTATGGGAGTTCTAATCTCCTGTATGAGAGCTGTGGATCTAAGGCAAATTATTCCACATGTAGGCACTTTGCATGCTCCAAGGGAATAAACTATAAATTACAGTATTATTATATACTAGAGTATTTATTAACATGCGATAATTTTTAGTCAAAATAACTTAAGTGCCAACGTTCACAGTGTAAAATGGATACGAGTCTATGGCCCACTAGTAAATTTTCATTATCAAATTATAATTTCTCAAAACTAAGCGCTTTAAAAAAATACTTTGTAGGCATATTAGCACCAGTCATAGGGCCATTATATGTTGAATTATAATATAAATAACAATAATATATTGTAGTTTTTCAATTACCTTCACAGTGACAGTGTTGTCAGACTGCCAGTGCAAGCAGCCGTGAGACATGACAAACAACGCGAATTCTTCGGCCAGGAAGATAAAAATTAGACGTGCTAGCTTCTTGTTACTTTCTCTCTCTAGACATCTTAATTTTTGAAGAGAAATTACTTATCTAGAGGTATATTTTAGCAAAAAAATACATTTCCAAACTGAAATATTTCATCTCAAGAAGGCCATGAAAAATTTGGACGCCAGCAATGAATTGGTCAGCGCCAAGGCAAATTCGCTTTTGCGCATGCACTAAAATGTCCATGAATCGTGGAGATTTTCACAGCCTTTACCAGGGTCTTCTCATTTTTCACGCGCCATGCACGAAGAAGACCCTGGGGACGAGGTTGGTTCCGGTGTTCCGGTGTTCCCATTCTCGTACCCAGAGCCCTGCTATCGAGTTTGTGCGTGCGTTAAACACTCAGGTCGACTAATTAGGGCTGTATGCCTGCGAACAGGCCGTAAAACAAAGATGGCGGCTTTCTACAGAGTGACGATTGTTTTATCCTAGAAGATTAATTTATTTATTTCGCCCAATGATTATGGTAATTATTTACATAAAAGTATTAAAGCTACAACTTTAAATGGGGCTAGGAGTCTAAAGAAACCTTCATAGGCTTTTAAGGTAAGGCCCTAGTTTAATGTCCAGTGCAAAGTTTTATATTGTGTCAATCAGTGCGACAGTGCCAGTAAAAGTATTTACAAGAATATGAAGATTAATACATTAATATTGCTTTCACTAGTAAGAATAAAGTACACAAGGAGAAAATTTGGAGAGCTATAAAGACATAATCTGTTAATTACATGAATATGAATTAGACTTCCTTGTTACACTGGCCTGTAGGCCAAGTGTCTTAAATCCCTCTTTTTCTGTTTTTTTCGTAGTCGAGAAATCGAGTTTGCGTTAGCGCATCGCAGGCTCAAGGTGCAACGATTAAGCCAAAATGCCATCGATTCCCTCCATTCCATGATTCAAATACGATAGCAACAAATTACGTATTTATGTACGTACTAGCCGACTCATGCCATGCTTGTGGTACATTGTTCGTTTATTAGCCTATACACTTGTACGCACGCGCACAATTCCGTACTGCAATGGCGGCTTTTCACAGAGTGATCAAACTATATTTTACACAGTTGCGTTGAATTTTCAAAGAATTGTGCCGGTTTCCTATGTATTTTACGTTGTGTCGTACTCTGGACTTTCTTGCGTGTTGAATTAATGTGTTTTTCTTTGTGTAATGACTCGAAAACCACAAAATATAATATTTAGTACTCCACGAAATATAATCCGCACGAAAAGATTTGTGGTAGCTACAGTATACTGAAAGATAAAGCGTGCGTTCAAAATACCAACAAGAACTAGATGTACTGGGATTGCCAGTAAATGAGGCGAAAAACAGGTTTCAACTCACTTTAATTATAAAATATACGGAAAATTACAAAATAGTAATTAGTGGTAAAACACTGTTTTCCTTCGCACGCCATATTAGCTCTTATGCGCATGCTCTAACAAAACGTAAAAAACATCGTTCAAAAGGCGATCGCAGAGATTATTGTCTACAACTTTACTACAACCCAATACACCGGAAGGACTGGGGTCGATGCGATCGCGTCTTAAAATCTGAATGTAAATTTCTCTAATGCATTGTTCACTCAATACTATATGTCACTGTCCGTTCATACACTCTCTTTGGCTTCCGACTTGGTTTCCTGGTCTTGATCCATATCCACTGGTACTAATAACGATAATCGCTGAGCACTTCGTGACACAATGACAGCCTCGTTATGTCCTTTGTATTTTTGTACCTTTTCTCCAATTTGAAAATTCTTGTACATGACATTTACTCGACGAACTTTTCCGTCTTGACTGGGAAACACTTCTTGTACTATACCTAAACGGTAATCTCCTCGCAAGGTATTACGGTCGGCAATTATTACAACATCTCCTAGACGCAGGTTACGGTTGGCTGTATTCCACTTGCGACGAATAACCAAGGTTGGGGCGTATAACTCCGTCCATTTCTTCCAGAACTCGTCTGTCACGATCTGGACAACATGATAACGCTTTCCTGGATTATTAC